GATTACTGCCCTCATCTGTCTCAGAAACATTTTCATCCATGTCAGCAGTCTCCCTGTCACCCCTCCAGCATGTTCCAGTTTCCAAAAAACCTCTTGTGTGGGACTCTGTCAAAAGTCTTTTTTCGGTCCAGATAGACGCAGTCAACCTAACCACCTCTTTCCTGGAAAATTGCTGTGTCTCAATCATAAAAACTAAGTAGATTTGTTACACAGGATCTTCCTGTTTGAAAACCATACTGTCTGTCTGTTATTATGTCATTACTCTCCAGGTGTTCTACCCATTTTGTTTTAACTAATTTTGTTCTAACATTTTGTTTTGTCTAGTGTTTTGACTATCACGCTTGCTAATGATATAGGTCTATAATTTAGAGGGTCTTCTCTACTACCATTTTTGTAGATTGGAACTATGTTTGCCTTTATCCATATATCAGGATTACCTCAGCCTTCCTTCATAGCTTCACTGCTATAACTAGTGCAAGTTTTTAAATAAACTTCTGGATTTTCTTGACTCTTATTTCACTAGGCAGCAGTTCCACATTGGTGCTCTGTATCAAAGGATTAGACTGATATTAGTGTGTATACCTTCTCAGTGCAAATATTGCAACCAAGCAAATATTGCATTAACAAAGTTTAAAAAAAAAAAAAAAGTAAATATTGCGTTAGCCAGAAAAATGATAGGATGAACTATGAGAATCTTCAATTCCAAGATCCCATCACAATGGTTGTACTATTCAAATCATTTGTGCTGTCCTGTCTTGAGTACTGCTCAGTACTCACTCCCCCCCCCCCCTCAGAGCAGGAGAGATTGTTGAAATAGGAGTAGTACAGAGAACGTATACAGCATACTGGGTGCCTGACAGCTGAGTGGACAGTGCTTCGGATTCGTAGTCCTGAGGTTCCGGGTTCGATTCCCGGTGGAGGCAGAGACAAATTGGCAAAATGTTTCTTTCACCCTAATGCCCCTGTTACCTTGCAGTAAATAGGTACCTGAGAGTTAGACAGCTGCTACAGGCTGCTTCCTGGGGGGGGGTGTAACAAAAAGGAGGTTTGGTCAAGAACCGGGCCGCGGGTACGCTAAGCCCCGAAATTATCTCAACATCGAGAAGATACATACATAGACGTGATAAAGCACCTAAATTGTTGGGATTTAACACTTTCGCTTTCCGATGATGCCTGTTATCGTCATAGGTTTTTCTCCTTAATGTAATCCAATGACTATCGTGCGTATCATCCGTTAAAATATTTTAACAAATTCAATTTTCATCAGAGCAGAGCATTAGAGCATTTTTTAAATTAGAGCATTTTATTATGAATAATTTGATACCACAATGAACAGTGTAGCACAAAAACTTCTGTTAGCAAACTGTATGTGTTTGTCGGGTGTAGCGGGTGTGGCAATGAGTGCGCTCTAGCGGGTTGCGCATCGGCGACTTTAGGGGTCGTTGCAGGTTATGCGTCCCCATGTTGTCTAATTTATATCCACATGTCTGTAGGAAATTAAATTACGATCACAGTTATACAAAAAGAACGATGTCGAACTAGTTTGGACTTGATAGAACAAATACATTTTATACCGAATACAATTGTTTTCCTAACTACAATACAGTACATACGTGTATCTTACCTTTATGGAAGACCCTTGATGGCGTATGGAAGATGGGGAGGAGGGGGAAGGAAAAGTGTTACTGTTTGGAAGGGGAGTCCCCTTCCATTATCACATCGGGCAGTGATGTTTCCTCTGGGGTACACACTCTCCTACGTTTTGCCTGCATACCACTAGGACCTGGTTGTGGTTCACTGCTTGTTTGTCTCACTACAAATGTCAAGAGACACTTGTTTTTCCCTTCGTTTTATTAACATTTGTCCATAGTGATGCATCACAGTGTCATTGAATAGCTTAAGGCAACAGCCTACTACAACTTGCTCTGGATGAGTCGTTTCAACAAAAGTTTGCATTTCTTCCCATAGTCTACACCATAGTCTTCACTACATACATAGTCATCCAAATTAATAACAACTGTTCAACTTCCTCAAGTGTTTGTGTTCTATGTTTCGTGATTATTGATATGCCTTTTGCCACTTTAGCACTCATAATGTCCTTTCTTAGCCAGTATGGTGGATACCGTTGACTGAGATTTGTTGTACTGCCTAGCTAGTTCAACAACCTACACGCCATCTTCATATTTATGAAGGATTTCTTGTTTTTGCTCTATGGTCATCCTTACATGGGTTTTCATATGTTGAACCTTACCACTGACTTTCTTGGGACCCATGGTGTGAAATATAATAATTACTTTTATGTTCAAAAAGCAAAAAATCACCACAAAATTGGAATTTCTTATAGGCGTAGTAGTAGCTGTAGTAAACTGGCAGGTTGGCCCACGTGACCGGGAACCACGCTCTCGGTCGACCCGAACGTGTACCAAACAAATATCGTTAGTCGACGACACCATCGTATGTCGAGTCGCATTTTTCTATCAAATTTACATCGTAACTCGAAATTATCGTAAGCCGCGGTGCCTGTATTTAGTTCAGGTCATTCAGGTGTTGACACATATTGAGATGTTATTCAATTCAGGTGCTCAGCCTGATATGAAGTCCAAGTCTGGGACCTTTTTTGAGTTTCTTGTATATGTGTTCCCTTCAAATTTTATTGTCTTTTTGACCTCCCCCTTTCTCATTTTAGCATTTACTGGGATTGAACTTAAGCAAGCAATTTTTGGTGCTGTCTATCATCTTGTTTAGTTTGTGTAGTAACCTTCACTCCTTAAGTGACCTGGTCATGTGTTCCTCCACTTGACAGATGGGGTGTACTCACCGCTTGGAAGTATCATTGAATGACTTTTGCTTAATTTGTGTTCTTTTCTACAGACAAGGAAGCCGTAACATGATTCTTGAATACGAGATGTATTATAAAGATGACAAGGGCCAACGTATTCCCAACGTATACAAATTCAACGTTCTTATCACCACTTTTGAGGTGATTATATCCGATTGCCTTGAGCTGAAGGAGATCCACTGGCGATGCTGCATCATCGATGAGGCGCACAGACTGAAAAATAGGGTTAGTTTTTACTTTGTTGTTTTCTCCAATAATGAAATGTTAGCTTGAAATGCCGTTGTATATAACAAGACTTTTATGGCTGTCTTATTTTTAACACATTGATGACACCTTATCAGAACTGCAAGCTCCTGGAAGGCCTGCGTTTGATGTTCCTGGAACACAGAGTGTTACTTTCTGGAACTCCTCTACAAAATAATGTGACGGAGCTCTTCTCCCTTCTCAACTTTCTGGAACCCACACAGTTCTCTTCTCAAGAGTCTTTCCTGCAGGAGTTTGGAAATTTACAAACGGAAGATCAGGTTAATAAGTTGCAGGCTCTCCTGAAGCCAATGATGCTACGAAGAATGAAGGAGGACGTAGAGAAGAGCCTGGCACCCAAGGAGGAAACTATAATTGAGGTGCAGTCTAAATCCTAATTAACTATTCCCCTCTTGGTCACCCATTTCCTATGTTGATATTCATTGTCCTCGACAAAACATGCTTAAGAAAATCGTTGTTATTCCAGTTTCTGGTCTTCGTAGTACAGAATTGTGACTTAACATTTGAGATTAGCTAAGTTAGTCAGGCTGTGGCATTTAATTGAACAATATAATTGAGTTCCATGATAGACTTAAGGAAGTTTGACATTCCATAAAAAAAATGAGTTGACATGAATTATTTACTTTCTTTCAGGTTGAATTGACAAATATTCAGAAAAAATATTACAGAGCCATTTTGGAACGAAATTTTGACTTTCTAGTTAAGGGTGCAACCTATGCAAATGTGCCAAGCTTAATGAACACCATGATGGAACTGCGGAAGTGTTGCCTGCACCCATACCTGCTGAATGGTTAGTGTCACAGTGAATGTGTAGAACCTGTCCCTTGATGCCTTGCTTCTGGGCCAACTTACCTTCAGTGGCCAATCTTCAAAATGCCTCCAGTGTGCTTCATCCAGGAGCTGCTGCTGCAGAAGGTGCTGCTGCTTCTGCTTATTCTTCTGCTTCTGCTAGTTTTCCTCAACATTTGCTTATTCTTCTTTTGTTAGTTTTTCTTCTGTTTCTTCTTCTGCTGTTGCTGCTATATCTGAGACCTCTCAATTCTGGTGTTAATCTAGTTGCAAACCTCTGAACTTTCTAATGTTTCTTTATATGCTTCAGAGGTTGTGGGTGCCATGTTGGAGCTGCTTATTCAAGTAATGGCCCACACATGGGCAGTATATGTGACTTGAAAGCCTCCTTGTTCACATTCTTAAATGATGATCTTACTTTTGCTAACTTCCCATATGCTGCTTATGTTATCCTTTTCACATGAGCGTCTGGTGTTAATGTTGGATTATGTCTACTCTCATTATCTTTGCTCTTATAACTTCTTGTGACTGCCTTTCCCTTATGGTGTAGTAAAATACAGGTCTCCTGCCAACCTTATCTATTTTCATTACTTTACACTGTTTTGGATTGACTTCCAGCAGCCAGTTGTGTGTACTCCTGAAGTACTCCTGTGTGTACAGCCCTTTTCAGTTCTTACTCTCCTCATTAACTTGGCATCATCTGCAAAAGTCCACTGTTGTTAGGGTTTGTTAGTGTGTACTCAAATACTCCAACAGCCTCCTCAGTTTCTGTTCTGGGTGTGGTTTTGCCTGCCTCGTGCTGGTTCTGATAAGTACACCTTCTGCTTTTTTAGGCTTGGAAGGACTTTCTGCTCCTGGGCCGCAGTCATGTTTCTGTCCTGGACCCTAATTTGTTCATTTCATTTGCCTTTGCTTTCTGGTGTGGCATGGGCTGTGTTTTCCTCCTCATTTGGAGGCATACCCCTGGGTCTCTTTGGAGCCATAAACCCTATTTGGATGCTTGTTCCTACCCTATGGTTTTCTTCTCAAATTAGTGTAGACTGGACTATCAGGGGAGGAGGGGTTGCTGTTGCTGCCAATGTAGTTGTATTATGTAGTGCCAACACTTTGTGACAATCAATGTAAAGGGGTAGTTTGCTAGTCTATATCATTTCAGGAAGATAATTGGCTGTTCTTGTGGTTCCAGTGATTGTTGGGAATGGGCGTCGGTTGGGTTTATATATTTGAGTCGTAGAAAGTAGTTTGTCGGGACGGTAGAGATTATACTCTTCACTATGCCTTGGTGGGGTTCACAGTTGGCCAGAGCTTAGTGTGTAACCTGGAAGAGCCCCATGCCCCAACTGAGGGCAGCAACCCAGGTGCTGCTTGCGATGGAGTGTTTCTCTGGAGTTTAATGCATTATTTTTATTTCTTTGAAATTCTACTTAATTATAAATGCATACCTGGTAATTTTGTTTCATTCTGCTATTACATGTTGTAGTTTTCATATACATGACCAACCATTGTCCATGAATTTATTTATTAATAATATTTAAATTTTGAGAACTTGCCTAATTTATGGACTATTTATACCATTGTCAGGTGCCGAGGATGCCATTCAGCAGGACTATCGCGACTCCAGCCCAGCCAACACTTCCGATCCAGACACATACTACAATGCTCTTATTCAATCGTCGGGGAAGATGGTGTTGGTGGACAAGCTCTTGCCTAAGCTAAAAGACAATGGTCATAGAGTACTTATATTTTCACAGATGGTAAAGCTCTTGGACATCCTGGAAGACTACCTCATATTTAGAAAGTATGTTAGACTAATATTCTTTTAAATATTTAGTAAAACTGTATACAATAGTGTAGTCTACATATTGTGACATATTAGTCATGAGCCTTGAGTGTTTGTTCATCTTCAAATATGCAGTTAATGGTGTCTATAATAGTTTAATCCTTACAGTAATCTCTGGTCTATTTTCCTTTAGGTACCCTTATGAAAGGTTGGATGGACGGATTCGTGGTAACATGCGGCAGGCGGCCATCGATCGCTTCTGCAAGCCAGACTCTGATCGCTTTGTTTTCCTGTTGTGCACTAAAGCTGGTGGCTTGGGCATCAACCTGACAGCAGCAGATACAGTTATAATTTACGACAGTGACTGGAACCCTCAGAATGACCTGCAGGCTCAGGCTCGCTGTCACCGTATTGGCCAGTCGAAGAGTGTCAAAATTTATCGCCTCGTCTGCAGAAACACATATGAAAGAGAAATGTTTGACAAAGCATCAAAGAAGCTGGGTCTGGACAAAGCAGTATTACAATCAATGAACAGTGACCAAAGTAAGAATGGTGCAGCAGGAGGAAACTCCTTGGGGCTTTCAAAGGCTGACATCGAGGAATTATTAAAGAAAGGTATGATATTGCACGTGTTTTAATTGAAATAAAAGTTCTGCTCTTTTGTCACAATTGGCTTCAGTCATTGAATAAGTGTTCATAAAGAACTATAGCAATCATGCTAGAATTTTGTCATAAGTTTAGGTTGCCGCTAACATTGATGGGTTTGTGAGAGCCTTCGGGGAAAAAAAAACTAGTGTGAAATGCATAAGGAGTGTTCATTAAGGGTATGTTCGGCTTAATGTGGTGAAGTCAGTATTCCTCGGTGCAGTTGGATAACATCTGAGGAGCACTTTTTAATGTATATAATACTGTATTGTTGAAAAAGTGTAGATCAAATAAAAATTTTGACATGGTATATGAGGTTAGAAGGTTACTGATGGTAGTGGAAGGGTTACAGTGGATATAGACATATGGAACACACACAGTATGAAGTTAGGAGGTTACTGATGGTAGTGGAAGGATTACACAGGATAGACATAAGGTTATGGAACACACATACAGAGTCTGAGGTTAGGAGGTTGCAGATGAGTCACAATAACGTGGCTGAAGAAATGTTAACCAAACCACACACTAGAAGCAGGAGGTGAAGTATGAACAAGATTATTGCGAAGTGTTATTTTGATGAAAGGCGAGCTTTGTTTGACGTTAGGTTACTGATGATAGTGGAGGGGTTACAGAAGATATACACACATGAAAAACACACATCAAAGTAAAAATGGTGAAAGTAAATAAATATGTGGAAGTATAACGAGGATATGCAAAACACACAATTGTAGAGTTTGCCACCTATTCCCTCCACCTCTCTACCCCCATCTTCCCTTCCCTCTTCTCCACCACCCCCATCTCTCCCTCCCCTTCACTACCTTCTCCCATCCTCACCACCTTCTCTTTCCTCCACCTCAGAGTCTTTCCCTTACCTTTCCTCCTCTTTCATTATGTCACCCCCCCCCCCCCCCCCCCCCCCCAGTCTACACTCATTGCTTATTGTTGCAGCCATTATTGTGCAGGTGAATGACATAGTTGGAGGTGGACCATGAACAAGTTACATGTGTTCATATCCTTTATGTGTTTAGGTGCATATGGAGCACTGATGGATGAGGATGGCGATGCAGAAGACTTCTGCGAAGAAGACATCAATCAGATATTATCTCGAAGAACAACAGTTATTCAGCACGAAAGTGAAAAAGGTTCTTCATTTTCTAAAGCTTCGTTCTCTGCATCAAACAACCGATCCGATATAGAAATAGATGATCCTGACTTTTGGAAAAAATGGGCAAAACGAGCAGAAATTGACACAGAAGTTGCAGACAAACTTCGCAAGGTATGTTATTTAATGAAAGTTCCCCCCCCCCTCAAAGCAGCTCAATGTAGTTAGTGGTTAAAGGGCTCACATACCTGAAGCATGCCTGGAGACAGTTCTGTGTTGCCTCACAGCCTCAGTGAATTTTCTCATTGATGTATATCACGTTAGTTTGATTTTTTTGTGTGTATCTGAAGTTGGGACGTACAGAACTTTTTTTTTTTACAAGTCATGGTGATACAGTGGTAGAGTATGCAACTTACAGTATTATTAATTTATAGATTCACAATGGCTGTTGTAAATTTCGATGCATCTTTTCATCGAGGGAGAACTACACTGGTCAGGCCCCGTGGCTTATCTGGAGAGGGTCTCTGGAGTTATTTTAATCCCCCCGATCCCGGCCCGAGGTCGTGCTGGACTTGTGATAACATGGTCCAACAGGCTGTTGATTACAGCTTCAGATTCTAGGTCTGTGTTGCCTGTAGACTAGTAAAACATGAGACTAGTTTTGACGTAATAGTGATAATAGAAAGAAGAGAGAAGGTAAGACTGGTGTGCGGGCTCCGGTGTTAGCTCTCCGCCCACCTTCATAAGTGTTTTCATCAGTTGTTTCCTTGCAATCATTTCCTGTCAATTCTTTCACAGTGAAAGATAATTGGATCTTTTGAAGGCTAAATTTGTTTAGGGTTTGGTTAAGAACAATTTATTTGTAAACAAAAATATATATTCCTCTTATTCCTCTAGTCAGCAGTCGCCTCCAGTTCCCCTAGACAACTCATAATTACCAACTTCCTTTCCTGAAGAATGCAACATATGCTCGAGATCCCTCTCTTAAATGTAACTAATTCAATGGCTGTTGTAAATTTTGTTGTGTTTGTCTCTCTTGCCTAACTCCAACTACATTATTTCCTCCTGCACTTATACAAATATGTTTTTTTCTATTATCAGCCATTATTGTCCATATTGCTAAATGGCATTGCCATTTCCCATGTGTTGATATCAAGCCCTTAATCTATTTTACACACTAGTGTGTGTGTAAAATTGTTTAGCCTAACTTTGGTTCGGTAAAATGATTAGGTTCTGTTGGCAGTTACTGGTAATTGCAGTACGTGGATGAAGCATTTCTGGAGGTGCAATTTGTGCAGAGGATGTGAATGATGCACAGCTTGAGAAAAATACATGTCATCAGTTGAGTCATGTGTAAAGTGTTCTCATTCATGACCAGGGTTTTGGTAACCAGGCTAACAAGCATTTGGTGTTTGTTGATGGCGGGTTGCAAAAGTGATAGAAATAGTGTTAGATATATCAACATATTATAGAATACAAATCAATGGATATAAATTGGATAAGTTTAGCTACAGGAAAAACCTGGGTAAATACTCATTTTTGTAAAGAGAGCTGTTGGCATACAAAACAAATGTTTCAAACATAAGTTAGATATATGTGAATGAATTTGTGTGAATGTAAATAGCCGTCTCATATGGGTCAATAGGCTTCCTGCAGTTCCTGCTTCCTTAATTATTTTGTTCTTATATTTAAGCTTGTGTTGCTTCTCTTCCTGCTGTTGTTCCTCCTCCTCACTGTTATTATTTTGTTTCTCCCTCCTACTGGTGGTCTTCTACACTTCCATTTCTACATCCTTAGTCTTCCTCTTCCTTTGTTCCTTCTGTTGGCTCATCTGGCCCATCTCTTTAAATTGGGAAAATAGTGTTAATAAAGTTACATGGTTCCTGCGCCAGATAATGCTAAATGATTTACAGCACAAACAGTGTTAAGATGTAAAGTGATGACCAGCCATGCTAATACCGAGGAATTCAGTCGAAGTTGACTGAAAACCTATGAGTTAAAAATGCTCATTTTTCTGAAAACAGCCTATAATATTTTTTGTATCCAGATTGTAATTTTTTAACTAATGAATTTGTTTCTTGACTCTATTACAGAAGACGTTAATAGTTGAAGAACCACGGAGAAGATCACAGATACGTAGATATGGCCACGATGAGTCGGTTTTGGACTGTAGTGACCTAGAATCCTCGGCAAGTGACTCGGGCCAAGAGAGGGATTTAGAACCAGAAATGATCCCGGAAACGAATAGCAGGTCTCGGGGACGAGGCCGAGGTAGGGGTCGTAACAGAGGAAGGGGAGGGAGAGGCGGTCGCAATACGAGGGCATCTCGATGGGTAGTGGAGGAAGAACAACTCGATCCAGAGAATGTTAGATATGGTCAATGGTTACGTTCAGAGTGCTTCAAGGTGGAAAAGGGCTTATTAATGTATGGGTGGGGTCGTTGGAAAGAGATCCTTGCCCATGGAGATTTCCGTCCAGCTTGGAAAGAAGTAGATGTTCAGGACTGTGCACGCATGATACTTCTCTTCTGCATCCGTTATTATCGAGGGGATGACAAAATTAAGGGCTTCATATTTGATTTGATTGCCCCCACATCTGACGGGAAGACTCGCATCCACCACAACCATATCGGCCTTTCTGCTCCAGTGCCTCGCGGAAGGAAGGGTAAAAAAAAAATAAGGGAAGCCAAGCTGGTTGCCTCCCACATGGAAGGTGCTGACTGGGCAAAAGAAGAGAAGTATGATACAGATGTTTACCTGGATCAGGGCTACTCGAGACACCTTACACGGCACTCAAACAAGGTGCTTTTGAGAGTGCGACTTCTCTTTTACATCAAACAAGAGATCATTGGTGATCATTATCTGCAGGTCAGTATTTTAAAACATGGTTCTTTATGTATCATTTTATTATGACCTATGGTACATTCCTGGATTTAATAGTTGAGTTAATAACTAAATTTAGCATGTAATATTTTACTGTCTACCCTTCTCTTCCAAGATATTTTGTCTATTTGTCCTCCTTCAGTCAATTTTCTTCAAGTCTACAATAATTGCTCTTATTGAGGACATACTTAAGTGTGTGTACTTGTGTCTATGGGGAATAAGATTACCTGTAGGGCCTCAGTTATTTTTTATTGTATCTGGTACATTTATACCTCCAGATGTTGTAGTGCAGTACTTACCTATCAGTGACTACAGGGGAGTGAGATGTTATGCTCCTCCTCCTCCTCCTCCTCCTCCTCCTCCTCCTCCTCCTCCTCCTCCTCCTCCTCCTCCTCCTCCTCCTCCTCCTCCTCCTCCTCCTCTCCTCCTCCTCCTCCTCCTCCTCCTCCTCCTCCTCCTCCTCCTCCTCCTCCTCCTCCTCCTCCTCCTCCTCCTCCTCCTCCTCCTCCTCCTCCTCCTCCTCCTCCTCCTCCTCCTCCTCCTCCTCCTCCTCCTCCTCCTCCTCCTCCTCCTCCTCCTCCCTCCTCCTCCTCCTCCTCCTCCTCCTCCTCCTCCTCCTCCTCCTCCTCCTCCTCCTCCTCCCCGTTTGTCTGGTGCTCTAATTACCTCTTTCAACATTAGTATTTTCATCATATTTCTTTTTAAAAGTTTTGGATGGAATTGGCATTACCAACCTATCAATACATTCCACTTGCCAACTACCCGTACAGGATTGGAAAACTTCCTCGCATCTCTTCGTCTCATTTGCAATTCCAGCTTCCTCTGATGTCCCCCTCATCTCATTTTCATTTAAATAGGCCTCCACTTTATATATTCACCCTCAAGATCTTGTATGTTGTTATCATGTCCTTTGTTTCTTCTCGCCTCTAAAGTTGTGTGGGTAAGTTCTCTCAACCTGTCCTCAAAGCTGAGGCCTCTCAATTCTGGTGCTAATCTATTGAAAACCTCTGAATTTTCTAATGTTTATGTTTATGCTTCAGAGAATGTGGGTGCCATGTTAGAGCTGCATGCTCAAGTAATGACCCCTCACATGGGCAGTGTGTGGGGCTTGAAAGCCTCCTTGTTCAGATTCCTAAATTATTTTATTTTTGCTAACTTCCCATATGCTGCTTATGTTATCCTTTTAATATGTTCTTCTTGTGTTTTACTTCAATTTTAAAATTTATTTAAATTTTACTTCAATATCATCAAGCTATCCAGTCAAAGGACAATTTTTTTTGCAATTGTATTACTCCTACCCTAGTACTAAAAGAAACTAGCTTCTTCCTTTATTCTTAGTCATGGTTTTCCCACCTACAGAATCTTGGAGAAATCACTAAATCGTATAATACTGTAATTTAAATGTTTTCACCAAGTAGAAGCCTTGGCAAGGGAAGGTTTTTCATTGAGGAGCCTTGGGAAGTTGATTGTTTTTAAGGGCCGATTGTAATACAAGGATCATGTTAGGCAATGAACCACATCAGTCATGGGTTTTATAATTTATTGCAAATGCAAGTGAAGATTTTTTATCGTGAAGATGTACACTCTTGGTGACTGTATGAGATATACGAACCATGATACAGTCCCCCAGTGGCTTTGTGGAAGACGCTGGGGTCCCAGGAGGGTTAGTCCTTGGGTTTTACCTAGGTAATACTCAGTTCCTCAAAGTTTTTAGTAATATCTGTTTGTAAAGATAAAGTAACAGTGATTGCTTATTAAAAAAAGAAAATGTTTTCTACCACAGATTGATGAAGGCTGTAAATCATCAGACCTGAACATCACCCCTCCCACAACAGAGTTGCCTCCCAAACCCTGGTGGGACGTGGAGGCTGATCGCTCCCTCTTGGTGGGTGTATATAAGCATGGCTATGAACGATACAACGTGATGAGGAATGACCCCGCTCTCTGCTTTCTTGGACGTTGTGGACCACCAGACAAGGCTGCTCTTATGGCCGAGATGAACACCATCATGTAAGTTATGTCACGTGTCCATGTATCAGCACACCAACACTTGCACACGTGCTCATACGCTCACACGCATGTACAAATACATACAATTAGAGAACATTGTAAAATATCATGTGGAAATAATTTGGGTTTTGAGGGATAGAAATGAAAATTTGAGTAGCAAAGTAACAGCTCTGGAAGGTCTAATAAAGGAATTATACGAGGACAAGGAGCAGTGGGACGCTAAGTCCTGCAGGAGGAAAATAAAGTATTAAAAATAGCTTTTGAGGAAGTTAAATAAAATCTAGACACGAGTGAATACAAAAAGTTAGGCAAGGAAATTCAACAGGAAAGAGGAGCATTTGCTAATAAAGCTGAAGGAGGTTACACAGGAATCTGAAAAGTTTAAGAAGGATATGCAACTTACCTGGGCACTAGTGGTCAGAGAGAAAGAAATTAGAAGTGCTTAACCCTTAACATGCTCGGGGTCTAATATCCTGCTATCCACACAGGCGCATGTCATTTTGAAAAAAAAAAAATTTTTTTTTTTTTGCTAATCTGTTAAGTTCTGTTCACTGATCACGGGAAAAATAAAAAAAAAATTCTATTGTACTTACTTTTGTTGCAATAGAGCCGAGAAGCTCTGCGATGACGTCACAATCTGCATGGTCGCTCATGCAGTACACGCCCGGGAGATGTTGCGCGCGGTCCTCAAACAGCCAGAGTTGCCACAAATATATTTTCGCGCTATTTATTTACAATGTCTAAGCGCATTTTATCTAATTTTTTTTCACTAATTGTGTTTCAAATACTGTTTGAACATATTTTGTATCAATAATTGTTGCATATTTGAGTATACACAGGCGCACACAAATGTTTTCAATTACGGCAATATAATATGTCATTACAGTCTATTATATTATATGTTCTGCTTATATGTTTACATATTTACACACTCGCACACGCTATACACACTTTGAAGCACACTTAGAAGATTTCTAGACTGTGGTAGTCATTGAAGCAGTCGACAGCACATAATGGGATACCACACGTTTCACACCATGTTTGCACAAGCTTCCGTTTCTTGTCTCTACGTGTCGTTGTTTTACACACCAAGCAATCACGTTGGGCTATTGCACGCTTCACACCAGGTGGCAAATACTTAAGTTTGTGTGCTAGGAAGCCTTCAGTGTGAGCGAGGCGTGGAGTACCAGCATGCTGCAACAGTGGGTTTATGATGGGCCGCTGAATACCTGGGACATCTTTTGCAAACTTTCCTAATAACTGTATTGCAGCATCAAATACAAAGTCACGGAAAGTGGGCTTACGTTCAGTTCTCACAAGGTACATGTTGAAACAGTTCAGCATGCTCATGTCCACAAGATGGAAGAACACTTTTTTCGTCCACCTACATGTCTTCCGCACACACTCTGCAGTGCCAATCATCATGTCTGATTTATCAATCAACCGCATGTTGATATTATAGTCTAAAACACAGTCTGGCTTATATAGTGGTGCGTTTGTTTTATGGCTCACTTTCCCACTGTTCACCATTGTTCCATCATGAATTGTTGTCAACAAGTTCACCTCTCTTTTGTCTTTCCACCGAACTGACAGAATGTTATCACTTTTCCTTCTCTGACACTCACCAACTGCAATGTCGTTGTCAAACACAGGCATTTCCCTTCGTTGTGGCTTTACTGTACCAACCAATCCGGTTCTATTTTCTAGCAAGAACCGAGCTAGCAAGGGACTTGTATAGTAATTATCTGTGTATAAAATGTGTCCCTTGTTCATCCACGGAGCCATGATGGTCTTCACTACACTCCCCGAGAATCCATGTTCGTCGTTACCGGGAATGTCTACATCACTAGCCGAGTACAGAATCATGTGTAACACGTATCCTGTCTCACAATCACAAAGAACAAAAAATTTCAGGCCAAATCGGTTTCGTTTTGAGGGAATGTACTGTTTGAATGGAACACGTCCCTTGAAAAGTATGAGAGATTCATCAACCACCAGCTTCTGTGCTGGTACGTAAAAATCTCTGAATTTTCCAATAACATCGTTCATGTAGTGCCTCACTCGCCACAGTCTATCATCAGGTGTTCGGTCCTGAACACTTCCAAAATGTAGACACCTGAGGAGTATCTGAAACCTGTCTCGTGACATATATTTCCCGAATAAAGGTGTTGGTATTGTCTTGTCCTTGCTCCAATAGTCATTTATTGCATGTTTGTGACAGTGCTTCATCAACAAACAGAGTGCCAAAAACACATACATTTCTGCCACTGTGGTATTTTTCCAACGCTGCAGTCGTGAAAATTCTGTGATTTCCCTCTCAATCAGGTAAGCAGCATGCAGGTTCGTTTGGTGTACAATGTATTCCATGAGTGGTTCATCATAGAATGCTGTAAAATATTCCATCTCAGCCATGTCCTCACCTTGATTAGGGAAAAGGTTTGTAATCCCTACATCTTTATCGTCAAAGTGAGGAATATTAGGAATAAAGTCGTCACCATCACTCCACTCAAGTACACCAGGCGTCCTGCGAGATGCAGAGGAAAGACGGCGAGGAAGCGATGCATACCGGCGACCAGGAGCTGAATACCGTCTGCGAGAAGCACGGCGGCTACGTGCACGTGAGGTGGGTGCACGTGAACACGAGGGTCTTGGTCCCTCATGTGGTGCCATGCGGTGGCGCTTGGCTGGGCGAGATGCTGCTGACGCGACAATTTCTCGCCCAGTTACACCACTGGTACCAGCCACAGGCTCAATAAAACTTTGATCTGAGTCACTAAACCCAGAAAAGGAGTCACCTCCCTCCTGACTCGTCACCCTCAAACAGAAAATATCCACAGGAACTGTGAGGTCGTGGTAGAATTGGGGTAGAAAATGGGCGAGGAAGCATGGGAGAGCGTATAGGCCTCGCCATGGCATGGCGGTCATTCTCACTTTCACTGCTGCTGCTACTATCTCCTGACAACTGTGTATAATCCTCATCGTTGTCTGAATCGTCAAACACACTTTCTTCACCTTCAGAGAATAATTCGTGGGCTATTTGCTCTGGGGTGAGGGACTGAGTGATGCGTGCTCGTGAGGCGTTTGACCGTGCGCTCGCCATGGTGACTCTCGCTAAACTGAGGCCTCCCATGCCATCGGAGCGTGAGCTGGATTTTTTTTCAAAATGGCCGCTGTTTACTAGAGCCCCTGGGCAGCGTATGGGACCCCCAGCTACACCGCGGGCCATTCAAATCGTGCGCGGTACCCATACACTTCATATGAAGTGAAGCGCAGTTGACTGGTAAAACGATTTACACTTCATATGAAGTGATGCACACTTTAAGGGTTAAGGAAGCCAGAAACTGCATCTTACCTTGTAGCAACTGCACCTTGCATCTTCCTGCAGCCAGAAAAGGGCAGACAGGAAGTCAGATGTCAAATGTCAGATATCAGAAGGGAGAAGTGGTCAAACTTTTAATGTCCCACCTAGCTATTAATACCTGGCATACCAATTATTCCTCTCAATAGTAATGTTTTCATCATATTTCTTTATAAAGTTGTCATTGGAATTGGATTCAAGAACCTCTTCCTTCAGAGCATTCCACTTTTCCTATAAATTACATGTTTCTTGATATCTAACTCTTTGATCTATACTTTATCAAATATTCATCATTTTTAACATTGGGCTGCACCACTGTTTATACCATACAGAATCCTGGTGTGCATAAAAAAAAAAAAACTTCTATTATTGTTAAAATGCATTCCCTAATCATGTGAAACATAATAACAAATTGTATGCAACTTACTTTGGTCGTGGTGAAGATTGAAAGTCTCACTGTCACAATCCATGTGCTCTCAAAAAGTTATCACCCGAGGTGGTCGTCTTGAGCCAGCCATTGGGCAGTTGCTGCTACTAATGTGTTTTGTGTGGGAAGCCCCTTCGGCTTCCTGGAGCTATCAGGCTAATATGCAATATATTAGTCAATGGAGTTCAGCCTATCAGGGACCATGTGCCAGAACCTGGCCCCCTCAGAGAGGCACAGGGAGAAATGGCCTCTGGAAAACCCCCCCTGTGGTTGGGGATATTCTTTATCTGCCATCGACTGGGGGTTAGGCACCCAGAAAGGTAGGCATAACAAAACACACCCCACTTGGTAAGAAAATTGCAACTGAAGACCGAACAGAGAGGCAGAACTTCCTTAATTCTCAAGGAAACAAGCAAACGTCATACACAGCTGTCGCACCCTCCTCAGTAGTCCTCCTCTCCCCCGGGAGAGGGAGGGAGCCCCGGACCCACCACGCCAGCTACTCAACCCGTTTGTCGGCTGATGCGCTTGTCAGCCTTGGCCTCGATTTCTTGTCAGAGTTTTGCCTTAGTGTCTTTATACCTGGGTCATACGTGGAGTGGGTTCTGAAAGTTTTTGATTGTTGCTTGGAGTGACACATGCCCACATATCCACTACAACCTGGTTGGTCCAACAGTTCTTGCACAACATGTCCTATTATTTTTTTATCTTGAAGAGAAACCACCATTGATTCAGAAATATTTCTTATGCTTGCCTAAAATGAAAGAGATACCTTTACAATTGGGATTAATGCCCACAATATTATTATTATTATTTTTTTAATGGCATCTGTTTACTGAATGCCTGAGGAAGATGATGTTATCCCCTTGTACCTGTGGGACTTTTAAATCTTAGTCATATATATATAATATTCACAGCGCAGTCAGTTAGGCCATAATCATATACAGTATATATAATATGCCCAGTGGATGGGTTAATTAACTTGTTTCCTCATCTAGACTTGAATTTGATATTCACACATGTTGGGGCAATTTTGGAAATGGCGGAATGTTCAAAATGGGCCATCCGAACTTTTTAGAGTTTAACATTGTTAGCATTCACTACAGCTCTTATAGCTCCCCCCCTATTTCTTCCACTTCACTTAAGAATGTTGTTAAAGGTAATGCTGTTCCCATACAGAAATGAAGATGACATGGAGAAGGAGGATAAAGAGGATGAGAAGGATGATGAGGACTCTAACCAGACTCCTCTGCCATCTAGTCCGGCTGTGTCCACCTCCACCTCCAAATCTGATGATGATAAATGTGAAGAAAAAGATGACAAGTCAATATCAGACAAGAAACTTGTACATTTTCCATCGACGTCTGATATTAATGGCCGACTCCGAAGACTGGTGACATCTTACCAGCGTAATAACAGGAAGAATGACTTAAGACATGAAGCCAAAGTTAGGGTAAGTAGCAGTAACTGTAAATACAGTATAGTATTATGTTACTGTGAATGTACCGTTTCTTTCTACCAGCATATAGAAATGAGTAGAAATTCTGTATTTGCAAATGTTATATACTTTGTTTAGAGTGTCAGGGACTGCCTTTGGGGAAAAAAATAAACAGGTGTGAAGGCCTGGGTTGCACACCTGTTAATAGCCAAAGTGAAATGTGGAGTGTGAAAATAAATATTTTTCTTTTGACATTGTTAATTAGCTTCCAGGAAGCACAAAATCGAAATCAAACATAACTACCTCTTGAGGTTCAGCTGTATTGGCCCAGAGAAGTTTCATTTTTCAGTAGAAATGAGGTGAGGTGCTGCACTGGAATAACTTTGTAGAATTATTTTAATAATTTCTCACTTTATTTACATAGTTTTCTGTGGAGAGCCCTTCCGGGTCCCCGGAGCTATATCGGGCTGATGTATATATGTTAAACCGTGGCAACAGTCAATTGATGGAGTTCTAGGCCTACTGGGGACCAAGAGCCAGAACCTGGCCATCTCTGAGAGGCACGAGGAGCAATGGCCTATAGACACCCCATCCCCCTTCCCCCCCATGTAGTTGGAAGCAGTCTATATCTGCCATCTACCAGGTCAGACACCAAGGGGAGCATGCAGGGTAATACTGAAAAGTGTATACTCTTTTCAACTTTGTCATCTCAATTCTCATCCTAGGTTTTTCAATTTGGTATCAATGTGTTCGCAATAGAATTCTCTAAAGGACTAAGGGCACAGAATAAGCAGCAGAGGCATTGGAGCCTTCCTCCTGCCAGGGCCTTCTGGTCGTTCCTGTGGACACCCTTCTCTTCTCACCATATTTATATGTAGTTGCAAGCTGTATGTTCTACAATCCCTCTTGATCCCTCTGAATAGATTTTTCATAAACCCTAAACGTTTGGAGTTAAAATATTTTTTTTGTCTAAATTTAGCTCTTATTTTTAAATGCCATATTGACGATACTGAAAACCTTTATTCTAAATTTATGAAAATTAAGATCATATGCTATTCTGAGAGCATAATAACACCAAATGAACAATTGGTGATATTTTATCAGCTGATCTCAAAATCTGAAGTTTTCAATAATCAATCTCAAAATTATTTTTGATTTTCTTGTTTTTCAAGTTACGGTAGTGATCATTTAGACGATGTTGGGGCATTTACGAATAGATTATGCACAAAATATTTGAAAGCATTTGAGAAACTGTGTTCCATGTCCATACATACATACATGTATGTATTGCGCCGTTTAAAGGTTTAAGAACACAGTAAAGTAGCCGTCACAATTGCAAGAATGACAAGAATGTTGCACAATGACAGCCCCTTTCATAGCTGAAGAAATTTCTGACCAGGAAAGTGTGCAGAAACCCTTTACTGCTAGAATCCACTCGGTAAAACATCTAAACTATTGGGACCGACTCAAATGCCTAGGTTTGTATTCTCTTGAGCGTAGGCGGGAGAGATACATAATAATTTACACGTCGAAAATAATAGAGGGGCTGGTCCCAATGTGCACACAGAAATAACACCACATGACACCAGGAGGCATGGCAGGATGTGCAGAATACTCCCGTTGAAAAGCAGAATATGTACCCCGAGAGAGAACTCGTATCAACATCAGAGGGAGTAGGTCGGCCGAGCGGACAGCACGCTGGACTTGTGATCCTGGGGTCCTGGGTTCGATCCCAGGCGCCGGCGAGAAACAATGGGCAGAGTTTCTTTCACCCTATGCCCCCTGTTACCTAGCAGTAAAATAGGTACCTGGGTGTTAGTCAACTGTCACGGGCTGCTTCCTGGGGGTGGAGGCCTGGTCAAGGACCAGGCCGCGGGGGGACTAAAATGACCTGAAATCATCTCAAGATAACCTCAAGAGGGCTGAGACTGTTCAACATGCTTCCACTACACATAAGGGGCATAACTGGCCGACCTTTCACAGTGTTCGAGGAACTCGAAAAACACCTCCGAAGGATACCTGATCAACCAGGCTGTGAGCAGTCGCTTCCAACAGCCTGGTTGACCAGTCCAGCAACGAGGCGGCCTGGGCGATGACCAGGCTGCGGAGATACTAAACCCCAAAACCAACACAAGGTAACCCACAAGGTAAGGTCTCAGGGAGGCCGTGGGAGTTCTGCCTAGAAGGGTCGTGCCAGGCTCGGGGTTCCTTCTGTCATCGTAAGCCAGTGGTGCCAGACACTTTTTTACTCTTCGTAGGTTGTCTTTGATTTCTGATTGGGTTTTTTTTGTACTTTCTCTTTTGGTTTTTCAGTACAGTACCATTATCTTATGCCGAATACTGTTGCCTCACGTCGTGCGGCGCGAGTGGAGCCGCTTCAGCTTGCATTCGGGGTGGATGTCACTTCTGCTCCATTCCGCAAGCTTTCTCGGCCGTTGTTTTACCTCCGGCCTGCTCATGTGCTGTTTGAGCCATCCTGGTCATTGGACCAGGTACTCTCTCTTTCTCTCTTCTTTTCGGTTTGTGGTGATCCCCTTCGGTTCAGGACTGTTTTTTTCTAAGGCTCTTTTTTCTTGTTGGCATTGGCCTCTGGGGGTCGGGTCCGGGAGCTTCATGTTCTCTGGCACAAGGGTTTCTGCTCTTTCGATCCTGGTGGTAGTTTTGTTTGTTTGCAGCAGTCTCCTTCATTTCTTGTGAAGAATGAGACTGTGCTTTTTGGAGGGGTCCTTGGGTTGTTGATGCTTGGTTGGTTCGGCCGGGGATGCATCATGTTTTGTGTCCGGTTGCGGCTCTTCGCCGTCACTTGCGCGCCACGGCCTCCATGGCAGGGGACAAACTTTGGGTTGACCCAGTTTCCCTTCTTCCATGTTCCAGGGGACGGGTCTTCCAGGTCATCCACAGGATTCTTCGGTCCAGCCAGCCTGCGGTCTATCCCCGTGCTCACGACATTCATAAGTTCGCAGCTTTGGCTGTATTTGGTAGTACTGTATGTCCTGGGCTGACATTCGGGCGCGGAGTTTTTGGAGGTCGAACAGAGTCCTAGCCGCACCGTATCTTTAATGTTCCGGGCCCTTCTCGGGCATGTGTAGTCTTGGGCTGCAGGTTGCAGCCAGTTGTCTCGACTTCAAGTTTCGAAGCAAGTGGTGGCCACTTCCCAGTTTAGTCCCACTTTTTCTTTATCTTTGGTTATGTACCACTGGGAAAACTGGAGGGGATCTCCACAGCAAACCAACTTTGAATGTTATTAAATGCCATTTTCTGGGTGAAACCCAAAGGGTCCCCGGCAACCCTCCCTCCCTCTGGTCGGTGGTTTTTAGAGTTTTTGATATTCGGCCTCTGAACTGGGGTTGGGTAGCTGGCGCGAGACGTCTGAGACCCCCCTCTTCCCCCTCCCGGGAGGGGGGGGTGGTACAGACTGCAGTGCAGCCTCTGTGGTGACGTCATGCTTGATTTATGATTGGGGAGTTTTGCTTGCTCGTCTGTTTAACCAGCTGCAGTTTTTGGGATTCCTACCTTTCTGGGTGCCTGACCTGGTAGATGGCAGACATAGACTGCTTCCAACTACAGTACTTGGTGTCTATGGGCCATTGCTCCTCGTGCCTCTCTCTGACTCGTGATCCCCAGTAGGCATAGAACTCCATCAATTGACTGTTGCCTCGGTCTAATATGTGGATTTGTGCATTATACCATTTACCTTGTTTTTAATTAATTTACACTTGACATCATTTGCAGGGTTATGATCATTATCTAGCAGACAAACTAATGAGGCGGGAGCGTATGGCTGAGTACATTCGAGAACGTGAGTTGCGCAAGACTGATTATAATCAACGGCGCTGGTCCAACAGGGAGCAGGCAGAGTTTTATCGCACCATATCCACCTTTGGTGTCGAGTACATTAGGTAAGTGCCATAGATGTTTTGGGACTGGCTGTTGTAATTATTACTTATTGGGTTCAACCCAGAACAGATCATTTGCTTTTCAGAGCATTATACTATAGTATTTGTAGTTTTAACATTTACATGTATGTATGTAATATTAAAACATTACATATATAACCCCCCTTCTTCTTTACGTTTATCTACCCCCTTTCCCCCCATAATTATTTTACAATTATGTACACTTTTCTTTCCTAACAGAAAGGAGAAAAGATATGATTGGTCCAAGTTTCGCACGTTGTCAAGACTAGAAAAAAAATATGATGAAACGCTCACAGAATACTTCCGGGCTTTCATGGCCATGTGCAAGAGGCAGTGTGGTATCCGTTTATCTGAGGAAGAAAATGAAAGTGAGTGTATATATATTGAAGTTAATTTGAGATAATTTTTGTTTAATGTGTATGACTGGGTTAACTTATTGCAAAACCACACAGCCTGCAGTATTTACGACCCAGCCTGTCATATTGTATACCATATCATGTATGAATTAGGCCTAAATATTGGATTTACTATATATGTATATTTAATACACTACAACTTTGATTCAGCTAACATTGCTTGGGTGAATCTCGAGCTGCAACGCTCATTTTTGCAGGCCAGATTTACTGAGCTGCTTCATCAAATACTCCTTAAGCGCAGTAGTTGAGGTGTGGAGTTGCTTAGGATGCAGGGCCATAGTTCAACAACCTGTTCATAATGAAAACTTACAGCCTTTGTCATTGAGAAATTAAACTTCATTGCACATAATATTCCTCATTTGTTTCAAGAATTAATGAACATAGTAATAGGTAAAAATAAAACACACGCTTATGACTTCAGAAATGATGGAGATCGGAGTGGATCGACTTCCAGAAGAAAGAGCACGTAGAGTTTTGGAACGAGTGGACCTGCTGAACCGTCTTCGCAATGATATAATACCTAACTCTAACCTGAAGAATGCCTTAGAGTTAGCCTTACCATCCAAAGATATGCCGGACTGGTGGATACCTGGCAAACATGACCACGATCTGTTGAAAGGTGTTGGCAGGTGAGGAGAGTGTTATTTGGGCATGGGCAGGTATGGACAGTGTCTGTTGGGCATGGGCAGGTATGGACAGTGTCTGTTGGGCATGGGTAGGTATGGACAGTGTCTGCTGGGCATGGGCAGGTACGGACAGTGTCAGTTGGGTATGGGCAGGTGGGCTTTTTTTAACTTATCCATTTAAAAGGAAATGACATTACCAAAAATGTAACTAAAAAAGTAATGTGTTATCTACTGGGGGGATTTTCAAATTGGTTATAAGCATGTAAGGAAATATAATACCTGTAGTGAGTTAACATTGTTGGCACCAGGGAAGATTGGTATCTCTCTTACTTATGGAGTAGTGGCAGTGGGCAGTTGCTGCCTGTGAATGGTGTGGCAGAGAAGCTGACCGTTTTCCTCGTGCTATAAACAAAGTGAGGGGAGGAAGGGTATTTTAGTCACAAATATAGCTGGAGTTACTGCTGTTACTTAGTGCAATTGTTGTTGATGGTAATGCTGTTTGATTGTTGTTGTTGTTGTGTGCATGCACATGAAATACGCAGTCTTACCAGCTTTTCCAATTTATGTTTCAGAAGGATAACATTGCAGTGTTCAGTAGATACGGCAAATTAGTGCAAGTTCCCACAATTTTGTGTGTTTTCTCTCTCTCTCTCTGGCAGCTACTTGAAGCTTATGGTTGATGGGCTCCCAATGATTATTTGTGTTATCAATTTTTTAGAATTAAAATTGTTCTTTATTAAACTTGAATTTTAATAATACTGTACTAATAATAATAATAATATTAACAATAATAATTTATGTTGCAGGCATGGATTGGGTCGTACAGATTATTACATTCTTTACGATCCTGAGCTCAACTTCCGAGAGATAATTCGCCGCCACACTGCTGGAGAACCACTCATCACTGAGGAAGAGAAGTTGGCACTTCAAAAGAAATATTACGAGAAGGATAAAATTGTTAAGGAAATTGATCAAAAGGAAAATGATCGTAAGAAAATTGATCATAAGAAAATTGTAGATAAAAAAGTGGAAGAAGAAAAAATAAGAGAGAGAGACTCAAAAGATGAGGAGGAAGAAGAAAGGCTGGAGCAAGAGGAGGAGGAAGATGCAGACTTGGAGATGAAGGATAACGAAGGCGCTGGTAAAGTCACCAACGAAAATGAAGATGATAAGAATGAGAAAGCTGAAGAGGATAAACTGGAGGAGACAATGGAAGCAGAAGATAGTGAAGTGCAGGAGGATAAAAAGTTAATTGAAAAGTTGAAGGTGGAAGAGGGTTTTAGTATAGATGATACCAAAGATTCTGTCACAGCAGTAAAAAAAGAAGTGAAGGTTGAAGTTAAAACTGAAATAGAAGAGAAGGTTAAGATAGAAGGTGATGATGAGCTTAAAATTGAAGAGAAGTGTGATGAGGTGTTAAGTGAGCAGATGCCATGTGACGAGGTGAATAATAGTGATGACCTGGACAAGAGTGAAGATGAAAAAGAGGCAAATACGGAGGACACGGTGATAGGAGATGAGGATGAGGAGGAAGAGGAGGAGGAGGAGGAGGAAGAAGAGGAGGAAGAGGAGGACGAGGAAGAGGAGGAGAAGGAGAAGGAAGTGGAGTTGAAACATATCATTCAGGAGGTGAAAGAAGAAATAAAAATGGAAACTGCAGAAACTGCCATTAATGTTAAAGAAGAAGTGAATGTTGAGGTTACTGAGGAAGATAGCAGCAAAGATAACAAGTCTGAAGACAAGGAAAGTATTGAGCTTACCAAAGATGATAAAGATGAACTTTTTGAAAATAAATGCAAGAAAGAGTTAGAAGATACATGTAAAGATAAAAAAGAAGAATGCAAAAGTAAAAATTCAGAGAAATTGGAAGATAAAAATAAAAGTAATGGTGAAAAGGACGAAAAGTGTGGGTCGGCTCTGCTGAGTCTGCAGCAGATGGATGAAGCCATGGCAAAGTGTGGCAGTAGTTTGACCTATGATAACCTGGTTTCCAATGAGCCAACTGTTGCACAGCTGCTTGCTCAGTCAGCTGCAAATCCTATTAAGTGGCCAAAGGACCGAATGCTGCAGTCTCGAATTGAACATCTCATGTATGCTGTGGAGCATAAAAAGTGGCCAGTTGGCATAGATTACCAAAGTAGTGAACAAGAAAGTAAATCCAGTGCCCTCCCTCAAGCCACCAGCAGTGCCTCATCACCCCACACATCAAACTCATCCGACCCTTTGGACTCTGAGCGCAGGAAACGGCGCCAGCTGGAGGCAGCAGAGGCAGAGCGACAGCGCATACAGGCTTTGTTGCATCCTAATCTTCAGCACACGTTAGGACTGAATAAGAGTTCCTCCAGTGCTGCTGCTGCTGCCGCCGCTGCTGCCGCCTTGGGTCTTTCACAGAGCTTTACTAGTGCCAGTCTTAGATCACTCATGGAACAATCAGATGAAAGGAGTAAAAAGGCCCAGCAACAGCTGGCAGCAGATTCACATGCATTGCGGCAGCTTCAAGCTCTGCAAGGAACTTTAGACTTGACTATCAAACCTGTTAATCCCAGTCATAATGCCATGGATATGGCTGCTAGTCTCTTGTCTCGTCGGGGCCCGGGCCGGCCCAGGCTGGATGATCCAGTGAGAACAATGGAGAAGAGACGTCTCAGTGAATCCCCCTTAGATTCTAGAACTCAGGAAAAGAAACGCAGAAAGCTTGATGAGATAGTATTAGGGCTTACATCTAAGGGTAAGAGTCCTGAAAACTCTGCTTCATCTTCTAAGGACACCAGTCCACTGTCTCTTCTTCGTGGCTCGTCTGTAACGTTGTTAAGTTCTCGTGACAAAAGTCAGGTAACCAACACTGTGACAACACCTAAACTGTCTTCTAGTATTAGTATCACACCCACCATATCTAAGCGATCTGGGGACTCCAGAGTGGAAGACGGCGGAGGAACGTCAAGTAAGAATACAACTACCTCCAGTGATAAAGAAAGCAAACCTGGGTTAGTGAAACAATCGGACTTGCCCCCAGGCGTAACGTTACCGCCTGGAATTGAGCTTTACCGTCCAACTGATGCTAAAGTGGATAAGTGGTTGGAACAACACCAAGGTCTCTTGGCAGATTCCTCAAGACCTTCTAAGGACCTGAAGAGACGAAAGATTGATTTTACTTCAATGGACTGGAGTCAGTTTTCTGGTGATGAACACATCAGTGTTGTCAACACTACCACTGGGCAGAGGGTTTGTAATATTTAGCTTTTGTTATACTTGTACTTTGATCTTGGTATTCACAAGATGACACCTTGATCACACTTACTATATTTTCATGTTTCAGTTTTGAAATGCATCATTTTGGAACTTGCACACACATTCATACATGCACATGATCAGACATAAATACATATCTGAATAGAATAAACATTATTATGAAGAGACAGGTTGAGGAGAAAGGTTTTCCGATAAACTTGGGAATCTATTCGAAGAACCACAAGACAAGACAGGAGTGAAAAGGTGGATTCATTGCCTATTCCTAAACTGCCTGCTGATCTTGTGCAACATAGTAGTACCACAGTTTACGAATTTAATCCGTACCTGGAGACGGTTTGTAAACCGAAGTGAATTTCCCCATAAGAAATAATGGGAAATGGATTAATCTGTTCCTGACTCCCGTAAAATTAACTTCAAAGTAAATTTTATACCTAATTCACCCAAATCTTCACTACAAAAGTATGTACAAGTTATTACTTACCTTTACTGAGGACTCCTGTTGGCGTATGGAAGACGGTGAGGAGGAGAGGTGTTACTGTTTGGAAGGGGAGTCCCCCTTCCATTATAACATCAGGCAGTGATGACTTCTCTGGGGTACACTCTGGCACGTTTTGCCTGCATACCACTAGGACCTGTTTCTGGCTCGCTGCATGATTTTCTCATTTTTTTCTTGATTGTTTTTCCCTGTGTAATACAGTACTTGTCTGTAGTGAGACATCACATTGTCATTAATATGATCTATGCAATGGCCTGCTAAAGCTTTATCTGGGTAATTCTTTTCAGCAAAACTTTAAGTTCTTCCCATACAGTACATATTTTCTTAATTAACAAGGAAGGGACATCCTCTACTGCCTCCTCCTCCCCTGAAGATTTGTTATACTGCCTAGCTAGTTTAACAACACGTGTACCATTTTCATGTTTACGAATGATCTCTTGTTTTTCTATATGGTCATTCTCACATGTGTTTTCTTGCCTTGAACCATACCACTGGCTTTCTTGGGCCCCATGGCGAGATACTTAATAACTTTTATGTTCAAATAGCCAAAAATCCGAAAAAAAAAAATGTATATCCTTCTAAAGAATTCAGGCGGGATAGTCACTAGGTGGGAGGCACTGGGAAAAGAGGGCCGATTGCCATGTCACCACGCGCTAGGTCGGCCATACAGGTATCAACAAACTTGTATCCCGAGGTAAAGTTCATAACCCGATTCAAATTTTCCAAAGAAATCGGGCTCATAACCCCAAAAAGTTCGTAAAGAGGGACATTCGTAAACCAAGGTACTGTAACACTGTATTTGTAAATTACTTCCCATTCTCATTTCAATATATTAATTAGGCTTCCTGCAGCATTCAATTGTCCTTTTCAGTTCTTACTGTCCTCTATTAGCTTTGTATCATCTACAAACATTGACCCCCCACCCCCCTCAATTTCCAACCCATTATTGTCATAAGGGGGCTTGGTGGGTGGCTGTCAGGGTGTGTTGTTCCATGGGACATCATTTATATTTATCACTTTTTCTTACATTCCGTTGGCAGGATTGTTGGTCTTCTGTTACTGGTAACAAACTGCATACACTTATGAGTAGTGTGTCCTCATGGCCGTCTTCCTACCACTGTAAACAGCGATGGGAAACGGCTCTGGCGAGGTTGTGTATTGGCTATACACGCTTAACTCATGGTCACTTAATGGAGCGCCGCCTTATTGTCCAAATTGCATTGTCCCTCTTACGGTTGTGCATATCCTTTTTGAATGTCCTTACTTCCAGGACGAGTGTGTCTCGTTTTCCGACCGTCCCTCGATGGAATTCTTGGTGAATCGGATGCTTTTGATATTGTTCGCCTTGTGCGTTTCTGTTCTCATATTGGCATCCTTGGTGATATTTACGCATTTTAGCGCCCTCTGATTATTCCGCACATTTGATGGTGCTACATAGCCTTCCCGGTTTGGTGCCTTCTTTTGATAATTACTTGCTTACTTTTTCTTGCATTTCCATCTAAATTAATAATTTTATTAAGAAAAAATATATCCATATATTTTTTTTTTCCCCACATAGGAAGTTATGACTATTTCAATAGCCACGCATTGAGGGTTAAGATTTCCAGGTTATCACTAGCAAGATTTTCAAGGTTTTATTATATTGTACATTGCACACAGAAATGATTTGTGTGCAAAGTGTTGGTTATCCAGTTTCCTTCTGATAGCACCCACCCTAACTCATCACTGTTAATAAGATGCCCCATCCATGTCTCCCACATCACCTCATCCTTCCTTGCATAGTTCTTCAATTTGCTTTTATAATAATATAGTAATATGTTCTTGTTTATTTCAGATAAGTGGACAAGAAGCACCTAGGCTCAAGTACCTTGCCCAGTGGCTTATGGAGCATCCTAACTATGATGTTGATCCTCAGTGGGCCGATATTGTGAAGGATCGTAGCAGTAGTGCGGGTTTTCTCTCTGATCTTCACAAGAAATTAGTGAATGCAGAAAAGAAGCACAGTGTCAGTCGTGCCTCCCTCATGTCTTCAGTGTCAAGTTATCTCCATGGCAGTACACCTTCTAGCAGCACCACTACATCCCCTCAGTCCCTGGCCTCTGGCTCTAACACCACTACCACATCTACCTCGGCTGCTGGAGGAAGCACTTGCGCTTTTCCCCTTTCGTACCATTCCTCCAAAGGCTTACCGTTTGATACCAAGAGTTTCCTTCAGGGGCTGGATCACAAGAGCCCTCTTACTACTGCAGCTCTTGCTGGATTGGATCCAAAACTCTTGGGATTTGATCCTAAACTGCTAGGAAGCCTCGATCCAAAAGCTCTTGGTCTAGACCCAAAGCTGCTACCTCCGTTAGATCCAAAATTATTAGCAGCTATGGGCCTAGACCTTAAAATTTTGGGGCTAGACACGAAGCATCATGAAACAAAACATCATGAAAAAGAGAGCAAAGCATCATCTTCACGAAGCTCGGACTCTAAGTCCTCATTGTTTAACATTGATCCAAAATTACTAGGTTTTGACCCTAAATTGCTAGCAGGATTAGATCACAAAACTTTAGCTTCACTTGATCCTAAGTTACTTGCGAGCCTGAGTGGATTAGATCCTAAAGCATTATCAGGTCTTGACTCTAAAGGTCTATCTGGACTTGATCCTAAAGTCTTGGGTATTGATCCAAAATTGTTAGCAGGCCTTGACCCCAAGCTTTTAGGTGGCTTAGACCCCAAATTATTAGGAGGCTTGGATCCTAAGTTGTTAGGTGGTCTAGATCCTAAATTATTTGGTGGGTTAGATCCCAAGTTATTAGGTTTAGACCCAAAATCATTAGGTGGTATAGATCCCAAATTATTAGGTGGTATTGATCCTAAACTACTGGCAGGTTTAGATCCTAAATTATTAGGAGGACTCGATCCAAAAATGATGTGCCTAGATCCAAAGATGCTTGGTTTAGACCCCAAAATGTTTGGTGGTATTGACCCCAAATTATTGGGAGGCTTGGATCCGAAGCTCCTAGGAGGATTAGATCCCAAGGCTCTTGGTGGTCTTGATGCCAAGCTGTTGGCAAGTATGGGTATGGACCCAAGCATGATGATGATGGCAGGCTTTGGTGGTTTACCAGGTATGGCTGGATTAGGAATGGCAAATCCTCTGTTAGGTGGATTGGCTGGATTTGGTATTCCAGGCTTAGCAAATCTGAATGATTTCCCATCAACCTCCAAGAATAAAGACCATAGAAATGCAGCCAGTTCAGCAGCTAATTTGTCGTTCCCAGGAATGTTTCCTGGTGCAAGCACAGCTGGGCTGATGTACCCACCTCTTGGCCTGGGTGGTTTAAGTTCCTTCCAGTTACCCTCCATATCTTCAGCTGCATCTACTGCTCTCCTTAATGGTCTACCTGCAAGCATAATGTCCATGGCAGGGACCTCACGTCACATGAATCAGGCTTCTACAACCATCAGCAGCAGTAGCAAGTGGAAACAAGATCAACGTAGAACTCGAGAGTCGAGGGAAGAGCACCGCAGCAGGATGGAGAGATTGGATCCTACAGATGAGATTGAACGAGGTCTGAATGTACGCAAAGAAAAATTGAAGGAGCAGTCTGGGCTCTCAAAAGAGGAGCGTTATCTATTAAAACAAATGAAAGCAGAACGGTTAGCGCGAGAGATAGAAGCTCGGGGAAGTCATGATCCGTATGCGGCTCATTTAGATTTGTCGTTACACTGGAGTCAAGAGAGTCATCGTAGTGAGAGGACACAAGATGCCCCAGAAAACTTAAGTCGTGAATCTGAACCTGCCAAACATGTACAAGGAGCAGATGCTCAAAATTTGAGCACAAAAGATATTGAAAATGGTGAAAGAAGTGGCACAAACTCTGATGTTGAGGAAGAGGACGAAAAGTCTTAGTGCAGTGGTGTTGTCCTACAAGTTATGTTCGTAATCACTAATTTAACCAACCTTGAAAGTATCGATTATATACTTTTAGTGTAAACTCGAGACGATATTTTAGTTAAAGTGAACGAAAGTGAATTCCATGTATGCAATTTGTATGAGTGAAATAATACCACAAACCCCCACCTCCAGTTTTCCATACTACTGCTCTTCATATATCCACACATCAAATATTCACTTTGACATTTAACTGTGATACTGACCTCATTATTTATTCCATATTTTGTGCGAAAATAATATATCAGCTGTCTGACGGGAACACATTTTCCATGTACTCTATTGTAATCTTTAAAAGGCAAAGTTTAAAGAAGTGTGAAAGTATATTATCTTTTCCATTAATAGTGTATGCAAGTTGATACAGTGAAAACTGCTTAATTGCAAAGGCGAGAATCCTTTTTGTTGCCTGGTATCGACGATTACAAACATTAGTGATGTATTAATTTGGATCTGACTGTTCCAAGCTGTTGCGAGAGGAAAGTCCTCTGTTTCTGGTGTATCTGGTCAGGCATGTGTAAACATTCTAGAAGCTGCTTTATATTGTATAATTGCAATTTCACACATTGAACCTCTCAAAAGTGCTTTAGGAGTCAAGTACAAGAGTGTAGAGATCTTTCCTTTGATAAAAGTGTTAGATCTTAAACCGGAAACCCATGTCTGTGTATATATTATTATTAAGAATGAATATAATTGTAAGCAAACTTTTGTAAAAGCTAAATGTAAACTGAAGTTCACTAATATTAAAGGGAACTTGGTGAGACTTTAATTGTATATTTACCCCATTGATCACCTATGACATGCTGACCTACCATGTTTTGCACTCCGGCTAGTTTTTGAGTTTGTTATATTCTGTGGTTATATTGGCTTAGTAATTTCTTTTGTATAATTAATGTTTGTAGACATATATATAAACAATGATTTTGAAGTATGATGATATTTTTTACTGAAGCTCATCCTTATTTTTGCTAACAAGAGTGTCAACACCTGACTGGTCTGACATTCTCATTCCTTGGCTATGATAACTATATTTAACCTTTTCCCCAATGTTAGTACCTTAGCAGCTACATTTTGAGTGGCAGTGGGGCTGTGTGCTTTGATCATAATGGGTTCTTATGGCGAGTTCCCAGAAGGGTCTTACCAAATGCCTGGTGGTTTAGCAGACAAATTTGGTCTTCTGCAATCCATATATTTGCTATGCATGGAGACTTTGCCCATTTCCTTTTGGAAGTGCTCGTTTTGGGAGCACATGAACTACATTTGAACTAAGGAGTAGATGAGTATGCCCAGGATGCTACGGCTCCTAGGGAGAACACACGTCTTCGTTAGTTGGTAGAGGTGAAGCAGGTGGTTTGCTGCAGCCTAGATGAACGAATCTGCTGGACAAGGGTCAAGTGGAAATTAAGGAGTTGGTCCACGGTGTGCCATCTAATTCCTCAATGATGGCCTGCATCAGCTATACCCGAGTTCCCCGAGTCATGCTGGGACTGCATCTTATTTCCTTCCCCTAACTCTCTTTGGTTCTGTGAAGGGTAAACATCGTCTTTTCAGATGTTGCCACTTATGTGGCAGTGGTGACTTGAGTCACTGGTGTAAGAGATAGCTGTGGGAGTGGGGCATCTCATCTTGGGCCACCTGCTGTGGGAGTGGGGCATCTCATCTTGGGCCACCTGCTGTGGGAGTGGGGCATCTCATCTTGGGCCACCAGCTGTAGGGGTGGGGCATCTCATCTTGGGCTACCAGCTGTGGGAGTGGGGCATCTCATCTAGGGCCACCAGCTGTGGGAGTGGGGCATCTCATCTTGGGCCACCAGCTGTGGGAGTGGAGCATCTCATCTTGGGCCACCAGCTGTGGGAGTGGGGCATCTCATCTTGGGCCACCAGCTGTGGGAGTGGAGCATCTCATCTTGGGCCACCAGCTGTGGGAGTGGAGCATCTCATCTTGGGCCACCAGCTGTGGGAGTGGGGCATCTCATCTTGGGCCACCAGCTGTGGGAGTGGAGCATCTCATCTTGGGCCACCAGCTGTGGGAGTGGGGCATCTCATCTTGGGCCACCAGCTGTGGGAGTGGGGCATCTCATCTTGGGCCACCAGCTGTGGGAGTGGAGCATCTCATCTTGGGCCACTAGCTGTGTGAGTGGGGCGTCTCATCTTGGGCCACCAGCTGTGGGAGTGGGGCGTCTCATCTTGGGCCACCAGCTGTGGAAGTGGGGTGTCTCATCTTTGGCCACCAATTGTGGGAGCGGGGCATCTCATCATGGAGTAATCTTTCTAACATTTCGATGATGATTCCACATTCTGGTGGCTTGGTTCTGTAGGTTGATGTTTAGTGGATGTATGTTCAGGAGCTCATAGAGCTCCTGGATTGTCTGGTGCCAACCAACGGTCATATGGTGGACGGTGTTTTGCTTAGCGCCTTGTCCTGTGCCCTGCTTGTAGTTTTTGCATGTTAGTTTTCTTTAAGGTATGTAGTGGTACTGAAAGTATGTAGTCCAGCCGCATCTATTCTAGATGCGGCTGGACTAGAACCTTATATAAGTGTAGCTGTATGTTTGAACTGAGGCTTCAGAATCTCTTGTTTTTCTAACGCTGTTTTTGCTTCATTATATCCTTGACATGAAATTTTTATACCTGTTCTATTGATCTTTAATCCCAGTATTCTGCCGACTAATGCATATTGGATCGTGCGGTTGTCAAGGATAATGGGGTCTGGGTTTCCTTTTGCAATGTGTATTATCTGGCACTTTTGTTTATTTGTACTTATTTTCCATTGCTTTTCAAAAGTTGTTTATGAATTCAAAAGCTCTCCAATTTATTGGAGATTTTTTTTGTTTCTTCCAACCATGCTACTTTTTGCCACAGTAAATCTGACAAACACGATGTTCAGAGCCAGTCTTAAGAACAGGCTGAATGCTTTATTTCCTGCTTCACAGTTGTCAGGTGCTGAAAAGTCGCCTCAAATTTCTGGGTGAATCTCCCTACCTACCCTCTATGTATCTTCCTGTCTCTTGTGTTTCTGCTTTCACATTGTCAATATAGGTCCCACAGAGCTCTATACCTTCCACTTTTGTCCTTCCCTACATCTGTGAATAAGGGGAACGGGATCCTTGATTTCATAATACTGACCTCTACCCAACCACCAGCACTGCACAGTTAAGCAAAACAAACAAGGGCGATAACACTCGGGTCTACATATTTAAGGTATGACATTCTCACTTCAGTCACACTTGTTAAAAAAAATAGACTAACTACAAAATACTTATTAATTTTAAATAATGAATGCTATTAATAATTATTTATAAGTTAACACAAGAAGCACACCAATGAAATTCAGTCAAGCAGTATATAATGACTGACAGGATCCCAACAAGAGGTCCATCATAGTGGGGTTGAAATAGCCTAAGCTACTCTATCCCTTTGAGATGTATTTTCTTGTGTCAATAAACATACTTGAACTTGAAGAGGTCCATCTTGTGGTGAGGGAGGCCGGCTGGAGACTCCCTGGGGATGGTGGAAGGTCTTGTGGTGAGGGAGGCCGGCTGGAGACTCCCTGGGGATGGTGGAAGGTCTTGTGGTGAGGGAGGCCGGCTGGAGACTCCCTGGGGATGGTGGAAGGTCTTGTGGTGAGGGAGGCCGGCTGGAGACTCCCTGGGGATGGTGGAAGGTCTTGTGATGAGGGAGGCCGGCTGGAGACTCCCTGGGGATGGTGAAAGGTCTTGTGGTGAGGGAGGCCGGCTGGAGACTCCCTGGGGATGGTGGAAGGTCTTGTGGTGAGGGAGGCCGGCTGGAGACTCCCTGGGGATGGTGGGAGGTCTTGTGGTGAGGGAGGCCGGCTGGAGACTCCCTGGGGATGGTGGGAGGTCTTGTGGTGAGGGAGGCCGGCTGGAGACTCCCTGGGGATGGTGGGAGGTCTTGTGGTGAGGGAGGCCGGCTGGAGACTCCCTGGGGATGGTGGGAGGTCTTGTGGTGAGGGAGGCCGGCTGGAGATTCCCTGGGGATGGTGGGAGGTCTTGTGGTGACGGAGGCCTGCTGGAGACTCCCGGGGGATGGTGGGAGGTCTTGTGGTGACGGAGGCCGGCTGGAGACTCCCTGGGGATGGTGGGAGGTCTAGTGGTGAGGGAGGCCGGCTGGAGACTCCCTGGGGATGGTGGGAGGTCTTGTGGTGAGGGAGGCCGGCTGGAGACTCCCTGGGGATGGTGGGAGGTCTTGTGGTGAGGGAGGCCGGCTGGAGACTCCCTGGGGATGGTGGGAGGTCGGCTGCACCGTCTCCGTGCTCTAGCACGCATGATTGCTTCTAACACTGCTCTTCCATCATCTGTTTGACCCTACTCGTGACCTAAGGATTTTGATATTTGTCGTGATTAACATCATTAACATTACACATTGATTTACACATACATAAGCACCTTGTTGAATTTATTGATACCTATGTTGCTTTTAACTCTACCCGGACTCATGCTGCCCCTTCTTAGGAGGCTGCTTTGTTTTGTATTGGTGACACCCTGGTTCGTTTCTCCAAACACTGTACAGTATATCCAATTAAATGACAGCATTCACATAGTCTCCCGCACAATGCTGTGACTGGAGATAAGGAACTCGAAGACTGCCATGGTGATATTAAATTAAATACATCCTCGAGGCCTAAAGTTCTATATTCCAGACTGACATAGTCACTCATAGTCACTCATAGTCACTCACTCATGTAGAACATGACAAAACATAATTTTACTCTGTAATACTTTTTTATAACGAAATTTGGTCCAATGGTTTCGTCTAATTTTGTAATAACATAATACTATTTCAGAATAAAAATATTTTTGTATGTTCTACATTGAGCATCAACATTATAGCGAGTACATATGTCATATTTCTTCATTACGTACGTAATGCTGGGAAACTTTGGGTAGCTTTAGGAAATTAGATGGACCCGACTTGGCTAATACGTCACTCACCATAATGAAGAATTGGCAGAATGAATTTATTTCATATCATTTCTTAGAAAGTATAGGATTAAAGAAAATTAATCACTTAGAGTACTGATTAATTTTGGGAGAGACAGAGACAGACAGACAGACAGACACACACACACACAGACACACACACACACACACACACACACACACACACACACAACACACACAATAAGATGAAGTACTTAATGAAACAGACAGAGAGAAAGATCTAGGAGTTGATATCACACCAAACCTGTCTCCTGAAGCCCACATAAAGAGAATAACGTCTGCGGCATATGCGAGGCTGGCTAACATCAGAACGGCGTTCAGGAACCTGTGTAAGGAATCATTCAGAATCTTGTACACCACATATGTAAGACCAATCCTGGAGTATGCGGCCCCAGCATGGAGCCCGTACCTTGTCAAGCACAAGACGAAGCTGGAAAAAGTCCAAAGGTATGCTACTAGACTAGTCCCAGAACTAAGAGGCATGAGTTATGAGGAAAGGCTGCGGGAAATGCACCTCACGACACTGGAAGACAGAAGAGTAAGGGGAGACATGATCACAACCTACAAAATCCTCAGGGGAATCGACCGGGTAAACAAGGACGAACTTTTCAACACTGGTGGGACGCGAACAAGGGGACACAGGTGGAAGCTGAGTACCCAAATGAGCCACAGAGACGTTAGAAAGAACTTTTTCAGTGTCAGAGTAGTTAGCAAATGGAATGCATTAGGAAGTGATGTGGTGGAGGCTGACTCCATTCACAGTTTCAAATGTAGATATGATAGAGCCCAATAGGCTCAGGAATCTGTACACCAGTTGATTGACGGTTGAGAGGCGGGACCAAAGAGCCAGAGCTCAACCCCCGCAAGCACAATTAGGTGAGTACAATTAGGTGAGTACACACACACACACACACACACACACACACACACACACACACACACACACACACACACACACCCTCGTGCCTCGTGGGGGGGGGGCCTCGTAGCCTGGTGGATAGCGCGCAGGACTCGTAATTCTGTGGCGCGGGTTCGATTCCCGCACGAGGCAGAAACAAATGGGCAACGTTTCTTTCACCCTAAGTGCCCCTGTTACCTAGCAGTAAATAGGTACCTGGGAGTTAGTCAGCTGTCACGGGCTGCTTCCTGGGGTGTGTGTGTGTGTGTGTGTGTGGTGTGGGAAAAAAAATAGTAGTTAGTAAACAGTTGATTGACAGTTGAGAGGCGGGCCGAAAGAGCAAAGCTCAACCCCCGCAAAAACACAACTAGTAAACACACACACACACACACACACACACACACACACACACACACACACACACACACACACACACACACACACACACACACACACACACACACACACACACCGACCAACCGACCCAGAAGGGCCGCAACAGCCGGGGCTCAGATCCCGCCAATAATAACACCACAAAACTGCTGCATACAGGCGGTTGTCTTTTGTGTGAGAGCCAGTCTTGGTGGAGGCCTTTACCAGGGTGGCCGCCAGGGTGGCCGCCAGGGTGGCCGTCAGGGTGGCCGCCAGGGTGGCCGCCAGGGTGGCCGCCAGGGTGGCCGTCAGGGAGGCCGCCAGGGTGGCCGCCAGGGTGGCCGCCAGGGTGGCCGTCAGGGTGGCCGCCAGGGTGGCCGCCAGGGTGGCCGTCAGGGTGGCCGTCAGGGTGGCCGCCAGGGTGGCCGTCAGGGAGGCCGTCAGGGTGGCCGTCAGGGTGGTAACCAGGGTGGCCGTCAGGGTGGTAACCAGGGTGGCCGTCAGGGTGGCCGCCAGGGTGGCCGTCAGGGTGGTAACCAGGGTGGCCGCCAGGGTGGCTGCCAGGGTGGTAACCAGGGTGGCTGCCAGGGTGGCCGTCAGGGTGGCCGCCAGGGTGGCCGCCAGGGTGGCCGCCAGAGTGGCTGTCAGGGTGGCCGCCAGGGTGGCCGTCAGGGAGGCCGCCAGGGTGGCCGTCAGGGTGGTAACCAGGGTGGCCGTCAGGGTGGTAACCAGGGTGGCCGTCAGGGTGGCCGCCAGGGTGGCCGTCAGGGTGGTAACCAGGGTGGCCGTCAGGGTGGCCGTCAGGGTGGTAACCAGGGTGGCCGTCAGGGTGGCCGTCAGGGTGGTAACCAGGGTGGCCGTCAGGGTGGCCGCCAGGGTGGCCGTCAGGGTGGCCGTCAGGGTGGCCGTCAGGGTGGCCGCCAGGGTGGTAACCAGGGTGGCCGTCAGGGAGGCCGCCAGGGTGGCCGTCAGGGTGGCCGCCAGGGTGGCCGTCAGGGTGGCCGCCAGGGTGGCCGTCAGGGTGGTAACCAGGGTGGCCGCCAGGGTGGCCGCCAGGGTGGCCGTCAGGGTGGCCGTCAGGGTGGTAACCAG